CAGTGAGGGACAGGGCTGTGTGTCTCGGAGCCGGGGGTCAGTGAGGGACAGGGCTGTGTGTCTCGGAGCCGGGGGGGCAGTGAGGGACAGGGCTGTGTGTCTCGGAGCCGGGGGGGCAGTGAGGGACAGGGCTGTGTGTCTCAGAGCCGGGGGGTCAGTGAGGGACAGGGCTGTGTGTCTCGGAGCCGGGGGTCATGTCAGTGATGACGCCACACTAATTCTCAGTCAAATCCTACCATGACAGAGCTATAGCTTTAAACACAGGCCAAGCCCTGTTTTGTATATTTCCATTGAGAACTGGAGGGAGTAACTTTGAGACCCTAAATTACACAATGTGCCTACAGATCAGTCCCGGGCTGCGAGGGGAGCAGGGGTGCAGGACTGTACCCAGGGCTCTGCTGAGTATGTTGGCATTGTGTGAGATTTCAGTAAGCTTCCCCCGCCTGGCTCTGCTGCCTTCCTGTGCTGCCCACCTGATCTTTCAGACCATATTTAGCTCCGCCATCTCCGCGGGCTGGGCCTGACTGCTCTGCTGGGAGTGTGGTTTGCTGTTTCCGCTGAGGCAGCAGAGCAGAGCAGAGCACAACTCTCACAGAGACACAACTTCCAGAAGACACACACAGCTCTTAAACGTCAGACCTTCCTTATGGAGGAAGCTGAAGCTCATATAGTGCTACGTGTCCTGCTGCAGGTCTTTGATATCTGGGCAAATGTGTCCTCGGGCTCGCAGCTCAATAGCCCTGTTCCAGTCAGAGCTGCAAACCCACAGGACCGGGAAGAAGGTGGGAGAAGGACGGAAAAGAGGATGACACAGGCGTCAGTGCAGCTCGTCAGCCGTGTATGAGGTGCCCCACAGCCCCACAGCTATGCAGCCCGGAAGTGAAGCTGATAAGACGTGGGTGTGTTTGCATGTTCAAGTGCATCTCGCATAGAGAGCTGCTCTGCTTCAAACAGACTCAAGAGCCAGAGGAGAGGGAAATGGCAGAGTGTGAGGAAAGGTCCTAGTGGGGTAAGAGCACTGCAAGACACCTGTTCGCTTCCCCACAGCACAGTCTGAACAACAGGAAATAGAGCAGAGCACCTGTGGAACGTGATAAAATCACAAGATGTGCAGATAAAGAGCTCAGTGAATAGAGATTCTAACAGCTCAGGAGTTCAAACTGCTGGGTTTTTCCCAGCCGTTTCCTCTGCCAACTTCACCAACCTTAACAGGGATATTTCTGTTTCCATTCTTAGGACTTTTAACCCGTGAATCTTGCAGGTCTAGGACACTATCCCAGAATGACTTTGTTTACAGTTCAGGAGAGTGTGGGGTGAACAGACAGCAAGCTGGTGATACACCAGTCCGGTCCACCTGCTTTCCCCTCGGGTGCTGAGTCCCACTGAACTTCTGGACCTGTCTTTGGGTCTGTTGGCTTCAGCTTATTCCCCAGTATTGATGGTCTGCTGTATTGTAGCAACAATGGCTTAGTGGCCTGAGTCTGATACTGACACTGATCTTCTGTTTTATCTGGACAGTGTTGGACAGCTACTGGAAATTGTGATCTTGGTGTTGGCTAATAGCTTCATGTCAGCAGGTCTCTGATGCCAAACCAGAGTTAGAACAGTGCTGGCTGCACAGAGCTTGTCTGTCGCCAGGTCCCATGAAGAAACGACTGTCACATTCCGCTGTCGTGTCTGCAGCACCGGAGAGCTGTGACCCTGTGTGTGTCCACTGCAGGGACTCTGTCTCATGTTCCTGTGGGGTATCAGGCGGCTATCGTGCACTGGTCAGGCCTTCTGCTTTGTCAAAGTCTTGCGGCACCATGTCTTTATAGTGATGCTAGTTAATCAGATCATGCGCTCAACCTGGCCTTTTCACTCGGAGATGAAAGGTGCTATATGAAAGAGCTGGGTTACAAGCACATGAAGGGTTAAGGAAGAAGCAGAGAGCTCAGATGCAGTGAGAACAGAAGACACTGGGATCCTCCAGAAGCACAGCTGAAAATCCCAGATAGAATTTGCCCTTTAAAATGCCTTTGCTGGCTCATTCTACTGTGATTTACACAGTGCTCAACCCAGAGATGTGTCTCCTGCGTTTCTGTGTTTGGGCTTTGGGGTAGGGTGTTTAAAAAGTGCTAGGGGGACAGCAGGACAGCCACTTAGATGCTGAAAGACGTCACCTTGTCTTCAAGGACTCTTGTGACAGCCTCTGTCTCACTGACTGTCCCCTGCTTCCGTTTCTTCTGCAAATACAAAACAACATCTATAAACCTCCTTCCTCCAGAGGCTTGGCTGGCAGAGAGTCCTATACCGAAGCAGATAAACTCTCATGACATCGCAGCTGGTAAACAGATGATTCAAGACCCTCTCCAAGCTGTGAATGTACTGTACCCAGTGGATTATCATCTTTTTGAACCTATTAAACTGAGGGCTTAGAGCAGACCTGGTCAGTCTCTGGTTTGAGACTTAGTTACCAGTCCATGTCACTGTAGTGAATTCCCTGAGCCCATCTGGGAAACGGCCTGACAGGACATTCCTGAGCCAAGAACAATAGACACCTGAAGTTCATGGAAATGATCCCCAGTTTGGAAAAAGCACCTGATTACTGTCCAGCCACTCGAAACTGCAGGGTACTGCCCTGCATGTCCCATGAGGCCGCAGTGCCCTGCGCAGGCCTGGAGCCACTGCATCCTTCCTGTCCTGGCGTCTCTCAGGGTGCTACATGGGGTTCCTGGGACCCTCTCTCAGGGACTGGCTGAGGGCAGCCCACACCTGCGCGCGGGCCATTCATGTCCTGTGCTTGGCTACAGCCTGGCTGGGCTATGAGCTCTTCCTATAGGTGGGGGGTGACCCTGGTCATGACCCGGGGGAACAACATTCAATCCACTGATGTCAGATCTCTGCATGTGGCAGCCGACAGCTTAACCCACCAACCCTCCCCTGGACCAGCCTGACCGTCTTTTCTGAGGAACTGCTCAGAAGATGCTTGTGCTCAACCCAAGCCCAACTGTTTTCACTGGGCATTTTAAAAAGTAAACGTGGGAGGACTCTTAAAGTTCTGATCTGTGCCTTAGAAGGAAATGTCAAAGAGAAGCTCATACAAAATGTTTTCAAGAACATAAGATTCCTAATTAAGAGTCCAGAGGGACTAGAAGAGCCTAGAGCCCTGTGACTGGGCTGTCAGTTTAATCCTAATGGAATCTCTGGGGTTTCTTTCTGTATTGGTGATCAGAACATTTACAGCTACATTCATACTAATCAAGTTACACAGCACTAGCACAGTAGTAGAGTAATGTGAAAATCTGTTATTCTCATTAAGGCAGATCAAGCTTAGGATTTAACATTCAAGTTAGCAAATAAATGCTGTATCACACCAGTAACAGGTCTTACCCCAGAAATGTCAGAAATGGTTCCACACGTGAACAGCCTTTCCCTTTGAACTGGAGACCTAGAGCAGAAAAAAGCCCTGTTATTCCAGTCCTCTCCACACTCAAAGCAGCAGAATCACCCGGGACAACAACAGCACACATTTACTGGACTCAGGGCTGGCTCGGGGGTGTGCTCCTGCAATGGCAGCACAACACCAGCACTCTCTCAGACACACTGTCTCACAGCGAGACGGTTTCAGCTCAAGGCCAGAACACAGAGAGCCAAGACCACACAGCACAGCTCACCGTTTGAAGAGGAGAGTGGCGGCACTGTAGCTGATATTATCAACACAGGAAACTGGTACATTGTGATACAAAGCGCTCTGCAGACTCTTTAATCATGCTGGCAAGGGAAGACTTTGTGTAGTTCAAGATATTGTGACATAGTTTTGTTTGCTTCACTCCTCATGGATGCTGAATGCAGAGAAATGCAATGTTACAGTGTCGGGGCGTCTACACCCCCTGGAGCTGTGGCAGCCACCTTTGGGGTTTCCTGCTCTTTTAGAAGGTTTCAAACCACCCTGTATGCTTCTCAGAGAGGAGAAGGGATGCTTGACTGTCAGCAGTAACAATCGCTGATGATATTTAATAAGGGAGTAAGGAAGGGTAATGCAGAGAACAGTCCTGTTTAAGTATTAAACAGCATTTGTCAAAGATCCTCTCACAGGCAGGTCTGTGTCTGTCAGTCATATTCATGATAATCTGAGAGGGACTCTGAAGTTCCACTTTCACTGTGCAAATCGTCTCAGTTCTAAGAGGTGTGGATTCTAAAGCTTGCAGGGCTGATCGAGGGCCAGTGCACGTTTCTATACTGTTAAACTCTGCCTGTGGTCACCAGCTGTCAGAGTTTCACAACAAAGCCTCAGTGAGAGGAGTGAGCTCTGAATTCCTCCAATCCGCCATGAAAGATGCCCGTGAAGAATTCAGTGCCAGTTCACCCATTCACACCGATACACTCCCTCTGGGGAGGTCTGCGCCCCTGGCATCCGCACCTTGAGTCATTGACAAGCACAGCAGCCTCCTCAGGAAGAAACCGAGCACGTCCGGTCTTAGTCTCTTGAACATGAGTCTTCCGTCTCCTCCTTCTCGGCGCAGCTCAGTGTGAAGGTGGCGGGACAGACTTCTGGGAGCGCGTCTCCCTCAAGGGACAGGGCAGCAATGGCGCCTGTGGCTGCCGAGCTGGCAGGGAGCAAGGAGGCACTGGCCCATCTCTCCAGCGCCTGCCAGCTCAGAGCTGCAGAGTAGCCCAGATCAGTATGGTAGGAGGAGAACTTGTGGGCTGAATTCTGCGGGTTGGTTTGGATTTCTGTGTGACACACACAGGCCAGGAAGTCACTGGCCGCCAGTCAGTCCGAATTCTGTTCAGGTTCTCTTGAAAGGACTTGGCCAGCAGGGCTGGGAAAGACCCACGGAGCCGGCGGGGGACGGATCAGACTCACCAGGAAGACGGCGACTCCGCTTCGCTCTCCTCTCTCTCCATCATCTCTCCCTTGCTCACCGCATCCCGAGCACCATTGCTATGGCAACCGGCCTCCCAAAAGGCTGCAAACAGCGCGACCCCTCCCAAGCTGACCGTTGCCAAAACAGCCCCTCTCGGCCTCCCAGTTCAGGACTCCGGCGGGGAGAGGGTGGCCAGCAAGTCAAACCCTGACACAGCGGCTCGGCTTCTCGTCACCTTTAACTACCTCCCTCCCTCTCTCACGGGCCGACCACATCCTCTGCAAGCAGCTCTCCAGGCTGCGAGGAGCCTCAAGTGGCTTCCTGTTCTCGTCGACTCAGAGCGGAAGACAAAAACAAGGCGACTGTCTGTGTGTCGCGTGAGCTGGCCGGGACACAAACTGCTTCACCTAGATGTTTCCACCACCTGCAGGGCTCTCGGTGCTGTAATTAATAATTTGTAATTAATGATTAGATGCCACGGTGCCGGAGAGTGTCACTCCTGGCAGTTGTCTGGTGGCGTGACTCCAACCACGCCAGGTGTGGTGCCACCCCAGCAGCGGGCACAGCCTGGATCGCTTTATCCTTCAGGATTGATCCAGTGTGAAACGGATGCAGCTGCATTAAGTCACAGCAACAGATGGTCAACGAGTGGTTGTTAATTGAGCTTGCAAACAGATCTGCACGCAGACGGGGAGGACTGCGCTGCAGTGCAACTTCATGCCAGCAGCCCCTTCAGAGGGCTTCCGGGAGACAGCAGCCCCACCTGCTGGAGAAACAGAGCTGTGGCACCAGACCATGTGTCCTCCAGCACCTTGCCAGAGCAGTGCGAGTCCAGGACTAGTGGCCAGGATTTTCTGCTACAGCAGAAAGTCAGGTAGAACTCCCTGGCACTACTGAACGCCCAGGCCAGAGTCTACGAAGAGAGGCCTCACAGCTACATATCGATTACCAATTAATGTTGAGGCAGCGATTCTCATGCTCACACATGCTCATTCAAAGCTATGCTGTCCAGAACTGTTTTGTGTGAAAGAAAAAACACGAGCTCTGATGGGCTCAATGACCTGCTATCCTCCTAAAGGTCTACAATAATCTAGTCTTTTGGCCCCACCTTCACAGACCAGAATTAATAGGTGGCAAAGGACTGCACAGGCCAACACTCGGGGACAGAAGGCAAGGCTGGAATGTGGGACATGGCAGATCTCACACACTACTGATATGGAAAATCTCGGCACAGGAACTCTTGGATTCAGTAATGCACCACATCAGAAGGGCACCTCCGACCCTCTGAGGCACAGAACCTTTCAGCATTGAGAGGAATAATGAAACACACAAGCAGGTTCTTTTACAACTTTATTAACTCTCACACTAAGTGCTCCCATTACAGAATACTCTTCACCTTATTCACTGTAACATATCTGGAGTTTAAACAAAGTAGAAAGAATAAAAGGTCAAGTCTACAAGGTGTGTCAGAGTTCTGACCAATAAAACAAAAAAAATTAATAATGTGCGAGCGCCCATCCCTTCACCGAAACAACCAATCACAGGAAAGGAATATTCACAAACCGTACCACCGCCCAATCGCAGGAGCGGGGAGGGGCCTGCCGACAGGTGCACAGGTGCGCTTGCTGTCACAAGCCACACTCGTGAGCTTTAACTGCATCAATAAATTAAAGTGGTAAAATACTTGGGAAACCTAATAAAGCTTTGGGAAGGAAGTGGATTGCAGCAATCCCTTCATCTGATAAAACAAAAACAGGATGAAGTTTAACTTCAGATATAATTTTACTTGTGAGAGCAGAGCAGCCTGTTTAAAAGGACATTTTTCAATCCCTCCACATCCGTAGGGGAAAATTCCTGTCTGCTTCAATGATTCCCGTGAATTTCCAAGCAGTGCAACTAAGGTGCAAAACATTTGGCGAAGTGGTATGTGGGTTGACTGTGGGTTTTAAATACGCAAGCTGCTGTCCAACAGGGCAGACAGTGGGCCAGTAAGAGCAGAGAGAGCAGTGATGCTCCCTCCAGTGGCTACAGAGTCAAACAGCAGCCACTGCAGCCTTTGCAACCATGACTGAGAGCCTGGTCTTTTCAGAGAACTGGGTTTTCCAAAGCTAAATGCACAACAGGGCACAAGCTTGATAGTGCTTCTCCATGCATGCAGAATCCAAGCAAACATCTAGGTATTTAGCAAAAAACACAAAAACTGGAGCCGAGAATGGTTTTAATAGGAGGCAAGAGTTCAGAAGTTTAAAGGTTTAGAAGGGAGTGTAAAAGGCCTAGCGTTGCAATCCCTTGTCTCCACGTACAGCCCAGGCTGCTCTCTGGAACTCTGTGAGTCAGCCCTGGCCTCTGGGAGTGCTGAAAGCCAAGCACTGTCTGCAGGTCAACCCAGCGCTTAGTCTAAAACGCCCCAGGGGAATTCGGTCCTAGCCAACATGCTATCTTTTCTCCTAGGGTTTCACAGAATGGTAGTTAGAACTATCTCCTTAATTCTGAGGTTATGACTCCACAATATACATATATAAGGAGTTGAACCTGTTAAAACACCCCCGCTGTAACAACTCCAAGGTTGGTAAAATTAGATCAGTTTTCCCCACCCCTTCCCCAAATGTGCCACACCTACATTGCACCAGCTCCTTCCCACAGCCTTGAGTAACTGGTATCGACTCCTCCCACTTCTCAGTGAATGGTGTTCACCCCCCCCCCCGCCCCTGCCCCTGCCCTGGCCCCGCCCCCGGGCTCAGCGAATGGTGTAGCGGACGTAGGGCACTTCCACGTCCTCATCCGTGTCATCGTTGCAGCACAGCTCGAACACCAGCGCCTTCACGTGCTTCCCCAGCTTTTTCTTGGACACCTTGGTCACGATCTCCGTCATTCTGCACAGACAAGACAGCCCTTCACACGCCTGAAGTGGCAAACCCATTCTCTCCGCAGTCGACACTTTTGCCTACAGCACCATGTTTTAAATACATTGATGGATTTCCATTAGTTTCAATACAAACCATGATCAGAACTCCAGATATTAATACCCATAGACTCCAATTCTGTGGCTTCAATACTTCAATAGTTAGCAAGCAAGGAGGAGAATCCATCTGCATGAGCCCGGTACCGCCCCACCCCAGCAAACAGGCCCACAGGCCCGCAAACACACGAGCCCGGTACCGGCCGGCCCCAGCAGACAGGCCCACAGGCCCGGTACCACCCCACCCCGGCAGACAGGCCCACAGGTACTCACGACAGGTCCAGGCGCTCCTTCAGTTTGGCTGCAGGCATGAAGAAGGAGTAGAGCATGGACACGCCCTGCGACAGCATGGTGATCTCCAGCTTGTGCTCGTTCTGCAGGGAGACAGGGGAATGTGTCACGTTTCTACATGACAGTGAATTTGAAACCTGCAGAATTACACATTACAATGTTATCAACACAGCCGACATGAGCTCAGCAAAGCCTTCATACAGAACAGCTGTCTGTAGTGGGCACACTTCCTGGCTGCTACAGTATCCAGGACATTTCCTACAGGGGGCTGAAGCAGAGCAGCACTCTTCCACCCAGCAGACTTCAAGTCATGACCAGCAGCAGCACAGCACTGCCGTACCTTGAAGTAGTCCAGGAACTGTCTGAGGGTCATCTCCTCCCCGCTGGGCTGGGCTCCCTTCACCTCGAAGCGGTCCCACAACGTCCATTCCTTCTCATAGTACTGCAGAGGACACAAGCAACAGGCCAGTCCTTCAGTTTGAACAATGAACCTCTCCTCCGAGACCCTGCTCGGGCTGAGCCATCTGCTTCATGAACTGCCACTGAAGGCTCAGAGCTGAGCAGGGCAGGCACACAGACCTACAGACTTTCCCACGCGAGTATACAGCATCAGACTCACGCACAGCAGGACTGTCCCGTCCGCAGGGGCTGGAGAATCAGATTTTCAGCAACGTGAAACTAGGAGAGTGCAATCAGGCAGGTCACAGCAGCTAATGTCAAACGGCACTCGTTTCCACCGTCACTGTGGATTCACTCGGCTGGTTTCCCCAGACCCCTGCTAGGAACCCTGGGCATAAACTTGTGGGAGGATCCAAAATTCACAGACAAAACAAAAGAGCTGCCATCTGGGCCTAAAGCATCAGCCTTTAACTGGTTTGAACGGCTAAATATCTCCGACTGACCTGGCCATTGAGCTACAGCTGAAAAGGACACAGACGGCCTGGGTGGGGCTCTGAGCCCCTTGAGCACCTCTGTGCAGGAGGCACTCACCTTGTGCGTGGGTGCAGCTATGGGCTCGGAGAAGGCGAAGAAGGGCAGCGCCAGGTTCATGAAGCCGTTCTTGTACGATTCCAGCTTCTTGTGTCCCTGGACGATCTTCAAGAGCTCCAGGCACACCAGTCCCACCACTGCTGCTGTAGTGGTGGCGATGGCTGGGATGATCTTCCCTGCAATCAGCTTGCTCTGAGTGGAGAGAAGGGACGGAGCACTGTGAGGGAGGGGCATGCAACCAGGTCCCTCCCAGTAGAGGGGCAAAGAGCAGTTCAAGGCCAAGCACACCAGTGCTCACCCAAGCTCAGCAGCAGCCACACAACTGTACTGCCGCCTGGGGTACAACAACCTAGATTTAACTTGGCAAGTCTGAGCTGTAGTGCTTAAGCTAAGATCTGAAAGGGCCTTTACTTGCTCAGCCCACTAGAGAAGTCTTTCTTCTATTGTTAATAATCAACCATCAACTACACTGTTAGTAACACTTCAGCTTAAATTCATTACAGACATAACCATCTGCCTCAGTGTGTCCAGAACAACAGTAAGTGAATATCCCTGTTGCAGATACAGGGAGCCAGTAGCTCCCAGTGCAGACTTTATTCTCGTCTACCTTGTGTCTGTCGGCGGGAGGAATGTCATAGTTCTCTGCTCTCAGGTTTGAAGCAGCTACAATAAAGTCCATGTGGAAATTGGTGTCATCATCCTGTAAGACAGAACATTATATCATTAGTGTTCTGGATAGAAGGAGGTCTTTTCCTGTCCAATTTCTGAACACACAAATACTGAACACAGAAAGTTAACAAGGAAGCAGCCAGGAGAATTGCTCACTGCAGCAGGCTGGAGTTCTAGTATGGTTACACTGGAGAACTAAGGTGCTTGTTTTGAAGCAGGAGGTTTAAAAGGCAATTGAGAAAAAAGGTCTCTGCTTTGTCATCATGTGTTCAACAGGCATTCATCAAGCCGCCCTCAGCGGTCAGGAAAGAGCGCTGTACCTTCTCAAATTCAATGGCACACAGCTTAAACCCGGACAGGCTGTCTGTGCCGGGAAGCAACGACTTCAGCTCCTCCAGTCTGGAATCATCTGGAAGAAAACCCCGAGAAGAGCTCAGTCCCAGCGCAGATCACGCCGCCACACCCCGCGGAGCCCCATTTCATTAGGTGCCTTTGTGGAGGAACTGCTTCTTCCAAAACAGTTTGAACTGTCTATTGACCCTACAGGTCTGACACTGCTCGTGACACCCCGACACAGTGACAGCGACCCCTCTCCCGCCAGGCGACTCACCGACGGAGGCGTTGGCGCTCTGCAGCTCCTGATCGGACACGTGGATCTTGACGCCTGACTTGGGGGTGAACTCGGGGACCTTGACGGAGTCCAGGATGCGCACCACGGCCGGCCTGTCCCTGGAGCCCTGCAGGCCGTACGTGTGGGCGAACAGGTTGGCCGCTGCGAGGATGTAGTCCATGTGCAGGTCCTGCGACACAGGGCAGCGAGGGGCATCAGCCGCGGTCTGGCTCAAACTGCCCGACGGACCGGCCAAGATTCACCATCCGCCAGATTTTTACTGACACCCTTTAAAGTGCTCATTCACGCAAGAGGAATTTCAACACATCTGACGGAGGAAACCGTTTCGGGCGAAGGCAGAAAACCAGCAGCCCCTGTGTGTGACTGGGTGAGCTCACTGTCAAAAACAACAGCTCTCCAGAGAGGGGCCAGTCAGACCACAGCCGCTGTGAGAGATAGCTAAGGCTCTCCCAGTGCACCCCAGTGGGGTTCTGATCCCCTTGTTAGACAGCTGTTTCTGTGCACAGAGCATGCAGACTCCCTCGTGAGCGGCGCCCGTGTGGAAGCATGGGTACGTACGTTGTTGGGGTCGAACGCTAAGGGATGAGGGCACCTCTTGGGACCAGACCAGAAAGGCGCTCCAGAGCTGGTGAGCTGAGGAGAGAGAGGGCGAGACACAGTTTTAAGCACACAGAAAACCCTCAATAGTGAAAGTTATCAGGACCTTTCCAGGACAGCAGACAATCAGATTTATATAAATTCCTCTTGATTCCCCAATACCACCCAGTTCCCCTTTCACAACAATTTTAATTGAATACAATGTTACCAGCATCCTGTAAAGACCCTGCCCAGCAGTTGTCCCACACTGCTAGGTGACAGTCTCTCCCACAGTGGACAGAGGCATGATTCAAGCGCTCCGAATCCTGAAGGGCAGTGAAAGCGCACAACTTGACCCCCGGCAATGAACAAGCACCAAAGCGAAGGGAAGGTTCAAGTCCGAGAACAGGAGCCCTTTCTTTCCCCCAGGACTCCGGACACAGGCGCCTGGCCCAGGCCGCCCAGCTGCGTCCCTGGGCCCCTTCCAGGCAAAGCAAATCCCCACCAGCAGCTACACCAGGGAGAGGAGGCGTTGGCCTGCACAGCAGACCCACGAAGGGGGTCCGACAGGCCGTGGAAAAGCAGCGGGGCCGTGGAGGGCGTTTCCCCCGGCACGGCTCGCGGCGGAGCGCGCGGCGCCACACCTGCTCCGGGGGGAAGTTGTGCAGCAGCTGGCGGATGTTGTTGCTGTACTGGCACTGCCAGTGGTTCCGTGCCCAGGCCACGCAGTCCTCCCAGGACCGGGGGCAGTCCGTCACCAGGCTCTTGTACACAGCCTCCAGCACCTCCAGCGGCTGCGCGCCCGGCAGCTTCAGGGTACGCTCCATGAACTTGGGGTCCCTGCGGGGCACAGAGTGAACAGAGTGGCTCACGCCTGGGGGCTCGGCACGGTCGCTCGGACCCAAGGTCTCACCGCCCCGTGCATTTAACACTGCAAACACACACACTGCTCATCAGCAGCTGCAGACAAGAGGATAGGCCGAACTCCGACACGCGGCGACGAACAACTGGATCCTTCAGAGAAAATTGTGCTTCAAATAACATGACCCCAAGCGGTAAAAACAAGGCTTTTCACAGGGAGACTCACGTGAGGTACTGCGTGGCGTTCTCCGCTGGCTGCTTGAAGAGCCCTTCAAATTCGTCACGAGCCCACTGACAGAGAGAGAGAGAGCCAGAGTGAGACCCAGCCTGAGCCACTTCAAATCGCCAGCTGAGCGCCCCCTGCTGTGGCTTACAGGTGCTCCAGAGTAAACAGGTTTGTGCGACTGACCTGCAGCGTGTGCTCGATGGCGTTGGGGAAGTTCTTGAGGGTGCAGATGGGGATGGACTTCTCAGGCGGGTCCTGGCTGGAGCTGTAGGACTCTGTGAGGAAGGGGATGACCACCTGCACATTGCCCTTGGTGCCCAGCGTCCCAGACTCCAGCAGGGGCTTCCTGTAGTACACACAGCGCCGGTCCATGTACATCCCTGCAGACACGACAAGCACACACATCACCTGCCAGCCATGCACATGGGGCACGACACTAAGACTGGATTAGTGCAGAAATCACACCCACACTATCAGAATACCTTAACGCTTCCCTACAGCAGACGGCAGCCCCAGCACTTCCACTTGGCTCTGACTAGCGGCAATTCACTCAACTGGCCATTATTTACGTGACTGAACATGTGAAGATCATTCCAATTAAGAAATCTGGCAAAAGAAAACTTAGAACAGGGCTCCTTTCAGCCGTCATTGGCCCACCCAGACCTTGAGTGAAAGATCTCATCCAGAACCTTCTTGAAAACAGTCAGGGTATCGGCTTTAACAAGCATTTGGATGAAACAGTTTCTGACTATGAACAGCACTGGTTGCCTGGAGACCAGGAACTTCCCGATTCCTCCTGGACGGGACGCCGGTTCTGCACGTTACTGGCAGCCAGTGCTCAAGAACAACAGTCAACTTGCCAAAGGGCCGGCTGTCCTCCCAGCGGGACTCACGTGCATCCACGTTGTCCAGCGCGTTGGCCACTCCGTGCAGCCCCTCAAAGAAGTCGTCATCGTAGATCTTCTCGGTGTCGGGCCCCACTCGGTTCTGATGGCCCGTGATCCGCACTGCTGGGTTCATCTGCTTCACTGCAGCGGCTGCAGTCTCCGACTTCATTTTCTGCACAGACGGAAAACAGGCACGTCTGACCTGCACTGCCGGCTCCCACTACCTGCCCTCGCCACACTCTCTCGCCAGGGTGCACGAGGCTCCATGTGTGTGCTGCGCTGGCACGCGAGTGTGTAGGGGAAGGGTACAGCATGTCTGAATATGTGCAGGCCACACAGAACATAAGAATCCTCACCGTCACATCCCAGGGTCTGAAGAGGAACTGTCTGTTGAGGTTGGACTTCTCTATGGTGTCCATGTCCGTCACTATGATCTCCCCACCCTCCCCACTCGCCAGACCAATCATGGCAAAGTTCTTCAGCAGCTCACAGCCGATGGCACCAGCTCCCACCTGCACAGCAGGAGAGGGCGTCAGTGACTCCAGCCAGGGGCTGTGCCTCATGCTCTCCCCACTCAGAACTGAGAAAACACGTAGCAATACACACAAGTGTCTTCATCCCTCAACAGAATCTACATGAAAATACTTTCAATGCGTGTTAAATTGTAACTATAAACACAAGGAAACCCGGGTGCATGTCACTAGAAAACCCTTGGTCAATAAATCATATCTAAATTTGTAAAAGATGTTCTAATGATGTGCTTTTTGGAGTGCTACTAATCCTGTGTAGTCCTTCTGTAAGTTACTGGTGGCAAAGTAAGATGTTAGCATGAAAGGGCAGCTGATTTTTATTTAGTGCGACTGCATCAAGAACTCAAGAACGTTCTTTCCACCCCCAGGTCGCACACCAGCTCCCAGGTGAGACACCTCCATACCTGGCACAGAGGACAGGGCCCCTGCTCTGAGCTCGGCGCAGTCAGTACTGGAGCTAATCCCACATTTCACTGAATCCCTGTGACTTGTGAATATAAGAAGTGGACATAACTGAGCATGAGGACATAGCACATCAAAAAAGTCAACTGTTATAGTGCGGAACCGTAACAATAAACCAAGAGCAAGTTTAATTGCTTGTACTAAGCACTAACATAAGTGCCTCACTCCCACAGCTACCTACCTTTCAAGTGAAGGTGAATGACTTTCTGTAGTGAACAGTGCGAGTGGGAGAACAGACTTAACCCTGTACAGTTACTCAGACACAAAACATGGCAACTGCTTCTTACCAGGAAGTATCTCTGCTTGGCCAATTTCTCCTGCATCTTGGACCCAAAAACAGCAATCTGTCCGTCGTACCGGCAGTTCCTCTGAGAACAACAGCAACACGACTTTTCAAATCCAGGTGCAGGAATGGGACACACAGCCTCATGACAAAGGCAAGAGCTTGACAGTAAACAGACTCAAGAGATGGAAAGTGAACTAGTAGACGAGCTTCAGAGATCGTCTATGTGGGTATTTTGTGCTCTAGTGGGAGGACAGCTGACAAACAGAATAAACCTGTGAAGAGACCACAGTGAGAGAAGAGCAAATTCTGCTGCTCCAGAAAGAGAATGAGAAGAGTAACTTGACTGGAAAGTGGCGTGACGTGCAGGGTGGGAGGGTGACTCACAGGTGCACACTCTTCCTCTGTCAGCAGAGCCCCCTCTGTCTCCGACAGGCACTCCAGGGCGTCGAAATACAGCCACTGCATGATGGGCATGAACTTCCCTGTGCAGGCCTGTGGGACAGCGGGACAGCACCAGGCTGAGGGTAAGCACTCACGACACCTTAGCACTGCAAAGATGCACAACAGCCTAACAGTTCTGGTCAAAAGTCATCTTGTAAGCTTCAGCTAGCGTACACCAGCAGTGCTTGCACCACTGTCAGACAGGACAGCAGGCCTGTTCGCTCACAAGCTCACGAGAGCACGCCTCTGCTGATCCGGGTCCGAGAGCAGACCGGCACATGCGACACTGACCTTCATGACCTCCTGAGCGGCCAGCCCCCCAATGAAGGCATTGACGGGCGCGAGGTCCCCGGCGGCCACGTACGCCATCTTCCGCAGCACCCCCTCGTCCAGCTGCTCCTGCTTGGCACAGCCTGACAGCCCGGCGTTCAGGGTCCGGGCCAGAGCGACCAGCTCGTCTGCATCCGCCTGAGGGGAGGAGGGAGGACACGGAGCTGAGTGCCTGAGAAACGCCAGCCCTGCGCTGGTCTCGTCCTCCCGAAACAAAGCAGAGCCAAGACTCGCCTAGGATTCCTGAGGGGAGGAGCATGTCAGCACTGAAGCAGAAAGACAAACACTGAGGCCAAGCGCAACACCATCCGAAACTGGGTTCATCTGCGCCAGGAAAGAAATCAAGGACACCAGACCAGGCTCACTATTCAAAACAAGACACTTGTGCGTCATTATGATGAAAAGAAACAAGAGTGTCCCTTCACTGGCTTTCTGGGCACGCTCATGGTATGAGAGCTGCCGATACCCCCACACCACGGACGATTTCTGAAGGCATCTCAGAAGGCAAGGCAGTCTGGGCAAATATATATTCTTGTAGTATGATGAGAGGAACATGCATGGTCTTTATTTCTGAATAAATGAAACATCTGTTCAGAAATAAAGACCTTGCAAGTTCTGTTCTTTCAATCAAACATACAGGACTGATATTATATAACTGGCTTCATCACTGTTCTCCTCCCCACTGAGAGCTGGTGTGTGGGGAGCGGACTGGAGCATCATCCAGGTGGGGCTGCACACTGTTGGTGGAGGGGAGCCCCCATTACCTGTAAAGAGCTCTGAGTGGAGTGTCCAGAACAGCGCTATATTCGTGTAATCAATTATTATTACATCTCTGGGGAAAACGACACTATCAGCAGTTCAGGTCAAATGTTGATGCCAACCGCAGCACAGCCCAGAGCCTGCAGGGGGCACTGTTACCTGGCTCCAGGGCTTTGGCAACCGGCCATGTTTCTTCTCGAAGTGATGTAGGGCCTGGTAGCACACGTGCAGCTGGCCTGGGCGATCAAACTTGGCAAAGTCTGTCATCAGGAACTCGGGCTCCGCCATGGCAGCAGACAGCGATTTCTGTGAGAGAGGAGAGTCGGTCACACCCAGGACAAAAGACCAGAAGAGTCCCGAACAGAGAGAACTATCAGGGGACCTGAAGAGCACTGAAACTCGGCTTTCTCGGTTGAAGGACTTGAAACCCAGCAGCAGAGCTTGACCCGGTGACAGAAAAGCAAGTGAAGGCCAAGTGCCTTAAACACGGGAGAAGAGGGGGCATTGTGGGAATGCTCATCACGCCACCCAGCCACATGCTCACGGCAGCATCTGCATTAATTAGCAACTGCCAACACAAAGAGCTGGATGAGAGACCTCTGTGTTTAAAGGCCAGGTTTTGCTGGTGACATTACTTCCAAATCCTGAGTCATTTTTCAGGCACGTGTTGGTTTTACAGCTGCATCATAATTTTGTGATTTTATTCCTTCATTATTTGAGAGGCTTTGCTTCAGATACAATCAAAGATCTAAAGTATCTGAACTAATTTATTTCCATCTGTGAACATCTCTTTATCAGCCTGGGTGAAAAAGGATATATTAATAAACCATGTGTGGTTTGAAGGCCTCTGGGCTGTGCTGTGTTACAGACAGAGGAAACGAGGGTGAAAGGACTCACAAAGCTGATCTTCTTGGGCACCTTGACCTGGGAGACGATCCCACCTCTGACGTAGTCCGAGAAGGAGCTGGTGTCGCAGATGCTGAAGGTGTAGGGACCTGCCAAACAACACATTCCTTTACAGCCAGCTGGATAAACAGGAGACTCCCAGGCTGCCGTAGCTTGCATCTGCTATCATTACGACAGTAATTCAACTTGCCCAATTCAAGAATTCCAAGCACACAAACTATTCCTGGCCTGATCTCCGACTTGTGCAAAGAATCCTTTCTACAGACATGTGAGTGAGAGGGTTGGAGCCGATCTGGGGTCTGCATGCAGGACGCTGAAGGGACATGTCGACCCCCTGCAGTCGCACACGCAGAGGCCGGAGACCCCCGCACTGCGAGCCGGGGGGCTTCCTTACCCAGCACCTTGATCTCCACTGGCTGGCAGCCGTTGAGCTCTGTCATGCCCTGGACCTCAGTGAAGGTCACATAGTCCCCGGTCTCGAACCCGTGCCTCGCCTCGTCCAAGCACGTCACCACCCCCGCGCTATCCTGTCACAGGGCACAGAGGGGCAGGGGCGTTAAAGATGGGCCCAGCAGACACTGAGGCGGGATCTCAGCCCTGCACACTCGCAATCCCCCTTCGGAGGACTCAAACTTCAAACACAATTCTGCATTTAATTATTACAACAGCTGAAAACGGACTGTGGGGAGGAATTCCTCTGCTACCTCATCAGGTGAATTGCCAGCTATTGTTTCTTCTTCAGAGTAGAGTCACAGCTATGCTGCAACCTGAACTGTTCACCATGTCAGCTGTTAAAAATCCTCCCCCCCAGAAAGCACCACAAAACTGTGCTTCAAGGACACATCCATAGCAGGACACAGAGGTGGCAGTATTAGGTGTTAGAGGGTTGTTCAATTTACAGAGTACAGTTTTTCTATCAAAGTTTAAATAATCACAACAGGAGCAACAGTAATGTGAGCCTGTGTAAGAAGAGGCACAGGCAGCCAGACACTAGCTCCTGGAGCCCAGGGGACAATCTCACCACAAGCACCTGGCCCTTCAGTGCCCAACAGCACAGCAGCCTGCTTCGCACCGAGCCACTGAAATAAATCCAGCTGCCACAGCTGGGGACTCCACAGTGTGTGGATATCTGCGGAGCCATCCCGAATTCTGTTTTTAGGTCTCATGTTTTGTTACCCTCGCTCTGAGACAATGTGGCTACTCAAGCCAACTATGAGGAAACGAGGTTATGGTCTTTTGATCATGGATCAGGTGCTGTTTTTGTATTTGAAATTTAAATGAGCTACAAGCAGAGATGCATTGTATTCACCCCGATCCGCTCAGAGTTCACTCCTGCTTTTCCCCAATCTTCATCAAATCCCAGATGAACAAGACTTGACAGCAGACCTGTCAGGAGCGCGGAAAAGACGGATCCCACTGCCCAGCGCCAGTGCCAGCCTGGCCCAGGCAGCACCAGTGTCAAACAGCACACCTGGCACAGACTCTTACCTTTGTTATCATGGAGATCATGGCACTGAGAGGCTGCTCTCCGTTGTTGTCAAACACCATCATCTCCTCCCCAAAGTCACAGAACAGCTGGCTGATGGGTAGAGAGACGGGGTATTAGGAGCAAAGTCTACCCTAAAGGATGCAATGAACAAAACTAGTACAGACTAACAATCTTAACCACTGGACTAACGGCAACTCAACTTTCAAAACACAAAACTCCAACCTGGGCTTAGAGCCGAGAAGCTGAGAACCCAGTTTGTCACTGATCAGCACAGTGCCAGATTGACACAGCTGGTAGTCACGGGTGCAGAGCCAGTGCCAGTTTAAGGAAGTATAATCGCACTATTTTCTACCTTTGTTTCAACAGCATTGCTGTTATTGGCCAGACCAGACCCACATGGAGCATGTATTACAGCCTGGCGTTTTATTCTGAGCCTGAGGTCAGCAGCAGAGCCCATTCCTTCACGCCAGTGAGAACCAGGCTGTATGGCGAGCAGTGCCAGTGTGAAAAGGCCACTAGACCAATGTGACAAAGCCCAGCGCTTGTAGAGTCATAGTGGGAGGGTGGCGGGCGCAACCGGCGCGCACGCTGCCTACTGATGGCTCACCCGAAGAGGCCGCGGGTGTCGGCGATGATCAGCTTGATGCCCTTGCTGTGGCAGAACCCCCCGATGCGCAGCTGCTCCTCGAGGCTGGAGTTGGTCAGGACCACCACCTGCGGCACAGAGGAGGAGCGTTAACGCGCGCCTCCGCAGGACAGACGGCAGGAAACAGGCCCACGCTACACCAGGGCTGTAACCCATCCTGCTGCCGACGGTCAGGGACAGGGGAACAAAGACTGGCGACTGAAACGAGGCGCGAAGCGAGGGTCTGGGGGAGCTCTCGTCTCCTCCGTGAGCGGAGCGAGCCGGTCCTTACGGATGTGCTCCCGGGTGAGCTCAACTCAGCCACACCTCCACGTGCACGGGAAGTGAAAAGGAAATGAAAACCAGCTTTGCCTCCCGATAATGTAGCAAAAACCACATTGGTTAACAGGGTGCAGATGGGTGTTGCGGGTTCGAGCAGGAGCAGGGACCTGGAACTGCGTGAGGTAGTCCTCGGACAGCGTGCCAGTGTAGGCGCTCACGGGGACGTAGCTGTTGAGCTCTGCCAGGCGCGGCTGGCTGGTCTCGGCCCGGTTCTTGCCCAGGTCTTCCTCGCGCAGGTAGAACTGCAGCCCCAGGGAAAGAGAAAGAGAAACAGGATTTGATCACAGCGCCGTGCCAGGCCTGAGGATCTGTCCAACAGCGACGCTTGGCGGGTCAGCCTGCTCTGATCCGCAGACTTTACCCGTGTGTCCTAGTGACGCACCGCAGCCCCCAAGAACCTGCTCCCGGCCTTGACCGCACCCTGCCGAGCCGACAGGCCAGAGGCCTGGATTCAGTCGCCTGCTATGTCTGGCTATAGCCAGTCGCGCTCGTGGTGAAAGAGTGCACTGAAGTTCCTCCCATCCTGCTTCAATTAATTCATTCAGTTCACGAGACCATAGCTCCCCGGCCCGAGCGCTCGGAAACGGCACCTGACCTGCGAGGACAGGTCCCTCCACTCGGCGTTCCCGGAGTCGTGCACGGTCACGCTCTTCACGCCGCCCAGGATCACGTTCTTGGCGATCTCCACGCCCAGCCCCCGCATCCCCGAGATCAGCACGTTGGAGGCCTGCATGCGCTTCATGGCCTCGTGGCCCAGCACGTACCTGCAGAGACAAGCCCGTTCAGCACCCCGGCACTCGGAGCCACACTGGGGGGTACAGAGCGAGCACCACGCAGCGGGGCAGGACAGAGCAGACACCACAGAGGGGTACAGGGGTACAGGACAGAGCAGACACCACAGAGGGGTACGGATACAGGACAGAGCAGACACCACAGAGGGGTACGGATACAGGACAGAGCAGACACCACAGAGGGGTACGGATATAGGACAGAGCAGACACCACAGAGGGGTACGGATATAGGACAGAGCGCACAGGGGCACAGGGGTACAGGACAGAGCAGACGCTGCACAGGGGTACGGATACAGGACAGAGCGCACAGGGACACAGGGGTACAGGACAGAGCAGACGCTGCACAGGGGTATGGGACAGAGCGGGAGCTGTGCAGGCAGGACTCTTTACTACACAAAGGGTAGTGGGAGTTGGGAACAAGCACCAGTAATGTTGCCAATATCGAGACCCTGGAATTCATCGAGAGGTAGACCCTGGGATTAATCAGCTGACCCGCTGACTGGCCTAGTCCCCCCTGTATGCAGGGTAACACTGGTTTGATGGGCTCTCCAGGTTAATTATACATATGTAACAGCAACATATTCTTATTTACAAAACCGCTAAAGAAGCCATAAATGAAAAACAAACCAAGTGGTCACGGTTTGTAGCGTGTGACAAGGAGGCCCCTGAGCTGTAGAGCGCCGACAGCTCTGGAGCCAGAGGGCAGCTTTAACACTGAGGAGTGACGGGATGCCCGAGCACCTGCTGCCAACTAGAAGACTCAATCAAAGCCTCAATATGGGCCCGACAGTGCTGCTGGGAACAGCGCGTGCACACTGAGCATCACAGAACAGGCGCAGCACTGCAGGGACAGGGACCGACGCCATCGGGACAGGGGACCACGAGCACACGAGCGCATCAAACAGCCCTCCAGTTCACCTGCCTGCCACTAAACATCCACACACTCCCTACTGGCACAGCCAGTGGGGAAACAAGACCGCACGCCCCAGAACAGCCCAGCCCAGCGGGAAACATCACCGCACGCCCCCAAAACAAAAGAATGACACCGCTGACAGGTAACTGCCAGAAAGACAGAAAAAATGTTAATTATACAGAAGCAAAGATACAACGGTTTCTGCAACCACAGCACATAAAGTGAGAACAAGGTGGGCGAGAATCCTGGGTCAGAGGGACACTTGCTAACGACTCAAGACGAGCTCGAGGGAGCTCTGCCAGCTGGACACTGCCCGAAGAGCGCCCCCCGGGGGCGGGGCTGTGGAGAGTACAGGAGTACAGAGGAAGACACTCACAGCTGACGGGAGTACAGCCCTTCGTCAATCTCGGCCTCGTTGCCATTCTTAGCCATGCCCTGCAAACAGAGGGAGAGGAGTGTCAAAGCGCACAGCCAGCGGCCCAGGTCTCAGCTCTGGCTGCTCAGTTAGTGTTCTGGTCTCCCCGAGGTTCAGAGACTACCTGAGGCACCCCTCAGCTCACTGCGTAGTCGTACCCCACACTCACCCGCTTCCTCCTGTCCCCCCACCGCGGAGTGTGGGGCAGGTGTGCCAGTCCGGGGGGGGGGCAGGTCAGTGTGGGGCAGGTGTGCCAGTCCGGGGGGGGGGGCAGGTCAGTGTGGGGCAGGTGTGCCAGTCCAGGGGGG